GCTCTGTGAAAATCTAGATCAATATCTTCAAAGCTGAAGTTTTGCTAAAATGAACCTCTGCTGAAGAGAAGTACACAGTCTCCTTGACTCTTTAACTCCATTGCTCCCTAGCAACTTGATATCCATGTTGTATCTGAAATAATCAGCTAGACTGCTGATACACCAATTTTGTCATAGTCATTCTCTTCATACTTTACAGCAGTATAGAAAATGAAAATAGGAGCAGGAGGAGGCCATTCACCCCTTTGAGCCTGCTCTGCCATTCATCATGATCATGGCTGGTCATCTAACTCAATAGTCTAATCCTGCTTTCTCCCTGTAACCTTTGATCCCTTTTGCCCCATCTAGCCGCCTGTTGAATACGTTCAATATTCTGGCATCAAATACTTCCTGTGGTAGTGAATTGCACAGGCTCACTGCTCTTTGGATGAAGAAATGTCTCCTCATCTCCGTCCTAAATGGTCTACCCTGAATCCTCAGACTGTGACCCCTGGTTCTAGACACACCCACCATTGGGCACATCCTCCCTGCATCTATCCTGTCCAGTGCTGTTAGAATTTTATAAGTCTGTATGAGATCTCCCCTCATTTGTCTAAATTCCAGCGAAAACAATCCTAACCTGGTCAATCTCTCCTCATACGTCAGTCCCGCCATCCCCAAAATCAGCTTGATAAAGCTTCGCTGCACTTCCTTGAGAGAAAGAGCATCCTTCCTCAGAAGCGGAGACCAAAATTGCACACAGTATTCTAGGTGTAGCCTCACCAAGGCCCTGTATAACTGCAACAACACATCCCCAATCCTGTATTCAAAACCTTTCCCAATGAAGGCCAACATACCATTTGCCTTCTTTAACGCCTGCTGAACCTGCATGTTTACCTTCAGCAACTGGTGCACAGGGACACCCACGTCCCCCTGCACACTCTCCTCTCCCAATTTACAGCCATTCAGGTAGTAATCTGCCTTCTTGTTTTTACTTCCAAAGTGAATAACTTCACATTTATCCAAATTATACTGCATCTGCCATTGATTTGCCCACTCACCCAACCTTGATTTTTTTGTTTTTTTTTGAAATGTTGGGAATATCAGCAATTTTGTTACATATCCCAAATTGACATGTATTAGATTAGCTGGGGAGAGCAGGCCATTACTTATATGAAGCTTCCATGTTCAGTTTCCCAGATTTATTGCATTAAATTCACAATGGATCTTTGTTGCAATTTGAACTCACATCTCAGTTTCTCATTCCTTACTGAAATATTAGCTATTTGGATACAGACTGGCTCGAAGGTAAAAGACAGAGGGTTGCTTTTCAGACTGGAGCCTGTGACCAGCAGAGTGCCACAAGGATGGGTGCTGGACACACTGCTTTTTGTCATTGATATAAAAGATTTGGTTGTGAACACAGGAGGCATGGTTAGTAAATTTGCAGATGATACCAAAATTGGAGGCATGGTGGACAGTGAAGAAGGCTACCTTGGAGTACAGCAGGATCTTGATCAAATGGGCCAATGGCCAAGAAGTGGCAGATGGAGTTCAATTTAGATAAATGTGAGGTGCTGCTTTTTTGGAAAGGCGAATCCAGACAGAACTTAGACACTTAATGGTAAGGTCCTGGAGAGTGTTGCTGAACAAAGAGACCTTGGAGTGCAGGTTCATAGTACTTTGAAAGTAGAGTCACGGGTAGATAGGATAGTGAAGAAGGCATTTGGTATGTGTATTTTTATTGGTCAGTCCATTGGGTATAGAAGTAGGGAGGTTCATGTTGCAGCTATACAGGGTATTGGTTAGGCCACTATGGGAATACTGCATGCAATTCTCATCTCCCTGCTATAGGAAGAATGTTGTGAAACTTGAAAGGATTCAGAAAAAATTTACAAGAATGTTGCCAGGGTTGCAGGGTTTGAGCCACAGAGGGAGGCTGAATAGACAGTGGCTGTTTTCTGTGGAGCGTCAGACGCTGAGGAGTGATCTTACAGAGCTTATAAAATCATGAGGGGGATGCATAGGGTAAATAGATAAGGTCTTTTCCCCAGGGTATGGGAGTCCAAAACTAGAGGACATAGGTTTAAGGTGAGAGACGAAGGATTTAAAAGGGACCTAAGGGGCAACTTTCTCACGCAGAGTGGTGTGGGTATGGAATGAGTGGAGGCTGGTGCAATAACAGCATTTAAAAGGCACAAAAACAGAAGTTGCTGGAAAAGCTCAGCGGGTCTGGCAGCATCTGTTCTGAGGAAGGGTCACCAGACCCAAAACGTTAACACTGATTTTTGCTTCACAGATGCTGCCAGACCTGATGAGCTTTTCCAGCAACTTCTGTTTTTGTTCCTGATTTACAGCATCCACATTTCTTTCGGTTTTTTATTTGGTTAGCATTTAAAAGGCATCTGGGTAGGTATATGAATAGGAAGAGTTTGGAGGGATATGGGCCACATTCTGGCAAATGGGAAAAAATTTCTTCAGGATATCTGGTCGGCATGGATGAATTGGACTGAAGGGTCTGTTTCTGTGCTATATGTCTCTATGACTATGAGGTTATGGTGCTTGGGCGATATAAGTACTGTATATTAATGCAAATGTCTTTAGCTGTCCCCTAACCAGAGAATTTGAGTCCTTCATGGTAACTTCAGCCAGGGCAGCAATTAAAGCCATGCTGTTGACATCACTCTGAATAGTAAACCAGCCGTCCAGCCAACTGAGCTAACCGCCCCCTTTAGCATCATCAAATCATTTTCTTTCAAATTATGAAAAACGTTATTTGTAAAGTCTCTGTAATTAAATGTTATATTTCACTTTTGAAATTATGAGAATTTTGAAATTATGATTATGACATTGTTTTCCCATGAATTCCAAATGTTTGATGAAATTTTGGTTGACCAGTAGAAGAACCCCACAGACTTTGAAATCACCCTCCATTCCTACTCATTTAAATATAATCAAATTTGTATGTATTTGTAAAATTATGTGTAAGGTAAGTGTCTTTCCCTTGTTGAATCCTGTGCCGTAAGCACAGGGTGTATGGAGTTTCACGACTGGCAAGGGTGAGTCAGGGAGTTTTTGTGGAGTGTTATAGGCTCATCAAAGATTGTCCAGTGTCCTGGGTATGGTGGGTGGAGTTTTGTTTGTTGACAGTGAAAGGAGTTGAAAGTCTCAACGGCTCATTTGTTCAATGGGTGAAACCCGTGAATACATAATGTTCCCATCTCGCACAGTTCAATTTCTGCAATACTATAGGCCTCACACACCCACAATCCTATGGCCTCAATAGGCAGGGGATGTAACAAAGTAGGCCTTTTGCAACCAGTAACAGCAGCAGGCAGTGTTAGAGGGGCAGGATGCACCTAGGCAGGGAAGGCATAAGACAGGCGTTTTGACAGCAAAATTGTGGTTGTAATGCAGAAGTCTCCCTTTCTCCCCAGGAGGCCACTCATAGCCTGTCAATACCTGCTGCATTGTCAGCCAACAGTGAGTTTCACTAGTAAAAAGCTTCCCCTGTCAAAGAATCCCAGGTGTTTCACACGTACATCATTGGTACTTGTACTTTCATGTAAGAATTCCAGAATTGTTATAGAACATAGAACAGTACAGCACAGGACAGGCCCTTTGGCCCACAATGTTGTGCCAAACTTTTACCCGAAACCTAAGGTCTATCTAACCTCCACCGCTACCTTATACTATCATCCATATGCCTATCTAATAGCCGCTTAATGGCTTAGAAAGAGACCATTCAGCCCATTTGTATCATCTAATATCAAACTCCTGCCTTTTCCCCATTTCCCTGTACACTATTTCTATCCAAATAATCATCCAATGTCCCCTTGAATGCCTCAGTTGAATGTGCCTCCACCAAACTTCTAGGCAGTCCATTCCATTAGACACATGGGAAACAGAAAAGAGCAAGAGAGTGGCAGTGGCTCATAGCACCGGTTACAACATCAGGAATGGCACTCTAAACTTAAAATTTCACTTGTACTTAGTACCATGTGATATTGTACAATGGGACACAAACAAATTACATACCACTGGTGCAACCTGAATACACTGTGTTACCGATGCATTGGGGTGAGGGGCTGCAATGGAAACAGTGAGGTTTCCAAAATGGGATGAAATCCATATCCCATCCTCAGACTTTACCTAGAACCATAGAGGCATAGCATCGTACAGCAGGGAAACAGACCCATCAGTCCAACTAGTCCACGCTGATCATGGTCCCGAACTAAACTAGTCCCTCTTACCTGTATTTGACCCAAACCTTACCTATTCATGTACGGATCCAAGTGTCTTTTAAAAGGCCTCACCTGGAGAGAGAAATTTTCAACTTCACTGTTTGCATGGTATTCATGGAGGAAATTTCTGATTTATCTTCCATTGAAGTCAATAAGGTGGAAATTGAAAAAGAATAAATGTGCCATTTGTTCAGCTAGGTTAATGCACTAGGTGCTGAAGGTGAAAGCTGAACAGGAAGGCCTAACCATTTCTTAATAATGTACAGTGCTGTGAATGACATAATAATTCTGTCAAACACTTATCAATGTATTACCTTTGACTGATTTACGTTAGCATGTTCTTATTAAGCTTTATTCCAGTTTTAGTCTTTCAATGCTGTTTTATCATACCAGAATTGGCAGAATTTCAGCTGTTTTAGCATCATTCTAACTCAACTTCAGATAGTTCATAAAATTTAAGTAGAGTGGAAAATGTAAATGATTGTGTAACAAAAATTTATACTATGAGTAACACCTACACCAATGCTACTTAAAGATGGAAGATTTTTCATTTTGTTTCTTTCAGAAATCTCTAGATCCTTCGATTTTTCATTCCATTTTAGTTAACCTCTCAACAACCTTCCATTCAAACCAGTTACTATTCAAATTACTTTTGCTTCAAGTAGGACATTTTGTAGAAGTCCAATCAATGATGTTTCTGCACTGCATTCTCTTAAGCTACACATTTCATCTCCAGCTCTTGGTAACAGTGTGAATTTTATTTGGTCCTTTCACCAGGTAGTTGCAAAACTCAGTGGTTTGACCGTGATGATCCATCAGGAAAAGGCGATTTTGAAGATCTTGCAAATCTCAAGAAAGAATATCCTGAACAAATCTGCAGTGTTCCGACTGCCTGTGAGGTGGAGACAACATCGGGAATCCCAGCCTCCAGCACTGGAAACAATATCCCCCTGTAAAAGCAATTCCTGATGTATTAGTTTTGTCCTTGCACTTTATTTCATAGGATACAAATTGCTTTACAAACTCATGCCCTGCTATTCTATGTTAAACAGATGCAGCATTGAATCTGGATTTACTTGTGTGAATAAAGACCAGGATGATGGGAGCTGTGAAGATTACAGAATACGTTTTAACTGCCCTGAGATTTTTTGCAAGTATCCCATTTTGAAAATAATAGCTCTATGTTTAATGTTGTAATTTGATTGCATCTGTTGAATATCTGTCAAAATTAGTTAGCTGAGTGTTACCTTCAACTTGGAAAGCTAGGACAAATTTGAGACTGGATTTCCGCAGCTCAATTCAGAATGGAAATGGAGCCAGTCAGGTGGGAGAGGGAATGGAACAGAAGAGTTGGAAGAGTCAGAAGGAGAAAAGAGTTTTAAAAACATAACAAGAAATGAACATGTTGGTCATACTGTAGCTCCATTTTGAAATATGCAACATAAGTCGATCCAGTCTATGTCACTTATCAGTTGTACTGACTTCTACTTTTGGCTTGTCAGTTGCTTGAGTAAAATTTCCAGCTCCATTTCTGAAGGCAGTCTTTCCAGAACTGTTTTGAATTTAACAGTGCAGCAGAACTCTTCCAGTTCAGGAGGTCATCACCCCTCCCTGACATCACATGGGTGTCAAAGTGAGGGCAGCAGAGCTGTTTGGACTCTACCTGTGCTCCAGAAAAACTGCTGGCAGCTGTGCCCTCAGAAGTCAAGACCATTGGAGAAGAGAGGCAGTGGCACATGCAAAGGAAGTAGTGCATTGTGTATCAGGAGGCCAGTGGTGAGGGGCAAGATGTACCAAGGAGAAGGAGAGAGAACATCCTGTGACACAGATTCTACACACAGAGGCAAAGCGTCTGGACATGAGTGAGAATCAGTGCTGAAGGAGACTGTACTCCCCAGAAACAGCTGTGGCCTGCACAATGTAGACGTCTGCAGCATATCACAGGCAGCTTTCCACTGCAGCACCAACATGTCAGACACTTCCTTCAGAAAGGCTGGACAACAAATCTGATTCATAAATGTCAGCGGATCGCATGTTCAGGGTCATTGAATTCAGTGTCTGGACTACTGAAGTGCTGTCCTGTAATACTTTGTGGATGGATACAGTGGCCTACTGCACTCTCCATAATATGGCCCTTCAGAAAGTGTAAACCTTGATGAGTTAGGGCCATGGAAGGTGAGTGAAGGGGAGGAACAGGAGATGATGATAAGCAGAGAGGTGTCCTCTCTCCATCTGCCACCCTCCAGGAAGAGGAGTTCCCCCTGCTCCATCATGGGCACCAGGCCTCTGGCTTCGCTGTATTTGCATTCCCTGTGCTGTGGAGAGAGGCTTTGGTACAAGCAGGACAAGCAGCAGCTTCAGGCCCTCTTAATTTTATAAACCCTCCTAAAATTAATGGAAAGAAAATCAGGTCTCTGTAGAACAGGTAGGTAACCTGCTCCAACAGACCAACATCATTGAGTGCCGTCAGAGGCCACCATATAATGACACTGCCATACTTGTGGCCTGCTACATATGAGATGATATTAGACTGGCATAAGCAGTCATATGGCCACGACTTTGACAAGAAGGTGGAATAACATGCACTAGAGAGGTGTATCACAGAGATCATTGTATACACAGTATGTAAATAAAAGAGTTTGTTTGGATACCCAAGTGTCAGATAAAGCAGAGACCAAGGTGCAGCACCCTCAGAGTAGAGACAGTACAGTCTAAGGGAGAAGACTGTTAGCTGGACAGCACAGCACCTGAGTTCCAAACCTCATGGCATCCTAATCCATGAGGACTGATCAACTAAAAATCAGTAAAGACAGATCAAACAAAAGGCCAGTGGATTCAGAAGGTGGTAGTCCTCATCAGGCAGGGAGTGCTGGACTGAAGGTCATCTGTCTATTGCAGCCTATGCAAAAGAGCTAACAATTTTTTTTCTGTTCACTATGCCTGTTATCCAGATTGAGATGGACATATCCCTTCTTAGTCAGTTCTCTTCAGCTGCCACAGCATTCTCCAGACAAGGGCAAGGAACCTCCCATTCTGCAGTTCCCTATTCCAGTTCATTTCCCCTCATGTCGAGAGTGTGCAGGCCAGCATGCGTAACTGGGGCTCAATCTATTTTCTTGGCCTTTCACATCCTTTTACACTGGCAGACACTCTGCAACTTTCTGGACCATTCTGGTCAAGTGTTCAGTGATATATTTAAGCAGAAAAAAAAATGGGCAGGTGTGTATGAGAGTCTTGATTTTTCCTGTAGGCATCTCCTCCAGAAGGAAATATGGGTCAAACCACCACACTTGGTGATAAGTAGTCACCGATGTGATTTTCCACATAAAGAAGTGTAATTCCGCCCTCCACCGTTCCCAGAGTGCAGCAGGTGGTTCCTTCGAGCTCTAGGGGGCAGTCAGGACCTCTAACCTGCCTGGAGTTCTGCTGGCCCACTGTCTCTGTCCTGCAGGCTGCCCTCCTTCATGCAGCTACCTACATAAATGATTTGGAAGAAAATGTGGCTGGTATGTTTAATAGGTTTGCGGATGATACAAAGATTGTTGGAGTTGCGGATAGTGAGGAGGATTGTCAGAGGATACAGCAAGATATAGATCAGTTGGCGGCATGGGCAGAAAAATGGCAGATGGAGTTTAATCCAGACAAAGGGGAGGTGATGCATTTTGGAAGGTCAAGTACAAGTGGAAATTATACAGTGAATGGCAGAACTCTTACAAGTATTGATATGCAGAGAGATCTGGGTGTGCAGGTCCACAGATCACTAAGGTGACAGCGCAGGTAGGTAACGTAGTAAAAAAGCCTTATGGTATGCTAGCCTTCATTGGAAGGAGCATTGAATATAAGGATAGGCAAGTTATGCTGTGGCTTTACAGAACTTTAGTTATGCCACGCTTGGAATATCGCATACAGTTCTGGTCATGACATACCAGAAGGATGTGGATGCTTTCGAGAGGGTACAGAAAAGGTTTACCAGGGTATTGCCTGGTATGGGAGATTTTAGTTATGAAGAAAGGTTGGATTGACTTAATTTGTTTTCACTGGAACATAAGAGGTTTAGGGGCATGAATAGAATGGAAAGTATGAGGCTTTTTCCCAGGTTGGAGCGGTCAGTCATTAGGAGACACAGGTTCAAGGTGTGAGGGGGATGTTTAAAAGAGATGCGCAAGGCAGGTTTTTCACACAAAGGGTGGTGAGTGTCTGGAACGTGCTGTCAGAGGAGGTGGTAGAAACAGACACAATAGCAGTATTCAAGAAGCACCTGGATGAATACATGAATAGGAGGGGAATAGAGGGATACAGGTCCTGTAAGTGAAGACAGTTTTAGTATGGAAGGGCAAAATGTGTCGGCACAGGCTTTGAGGCTGAAGCCCGTGTTCCTGTGCTGTACTGTTCTTTGTTCTTTGGTCTTGGAGTGGCCCCCATTGCCAGCGGTCAGGTAGTCCTGACATCCTCACCCTGCCTCCTATCAGCAATAAAATAGTGATGTTAAACCAGCGCATTGGGCAACAATGCCATCTTCACTCAGCCACATTCATGCCTAGCCCCAGCAGGGAGTAAAAGTTAATCCTTTGATAAATTTTGAAAATGACTTCCCTCTTCTCTAGAATGTTTGTGCCCTTGCATTGAGATTAGTAATGGAATGATCGTCATGAGTTAATTGGTTGAGTTATTTGGCATTCGGTCTCCCAGGTTTCCTGTTTGTGAACATTAACTTAGAACCTCAGCTTGATTGTATACAACATCTTCTGGGCTCCTCTGCTGATGGTCTTTTTAATGGTACCATGTGTTGGGAACAGACACTCCGTTTTAAAATTGTGAACAGTGTACAAGGTATAAGAAGTCATTGATAATTTATAAAATAACCTTGCTAGACCGGGAAATGGGGAAGTACAATGAGGTCTGGGTGTCACTGAAAGTCAGCATACAGGTGCAGCAGGTGATGATGGAGACAAATGGTATGTTGGTCTACACAGTGAGAGGATTCCAGTACAGGAGCAGTGATGTCTTGCTGAAATTGTACCAGGCCTTATCGCGACCACACCTGGGGTATTGTGTGCAGTTTTGGTCTCATTATCTGAGGAAGGGTATTCTGGCTATGGAAGGAGGGAAATGAAGATTTACCAGACTGAGTCTTGGGATGACAGGAGTGATGGATGAAGAAAGACTGGATCAGTTAGGACTGTATTAAATTTAGAAGAATAAGGGAATCTCATAGAAATCTGTAAAATTCTAACATGAATAGATTGAGTACTCTCGGAAGGATGTTCCCAGTGATCAGACAGTCCAAAACCAGGGGTCACAGACTGAAGATCCGGTGTTGGCCATTTCAGAGTAAGATGAGATAAGAAATTTCTTCACCCAGAGAGTGGTGAGCCTGTGGAATTCTCTGCCACAGAAAGCAGTTGAGGCTAAAACTTTAAATATTTTCAAGAAGGGGTTAGATATAGTTCTTCGGGCTAAAGGCTCAAAGGGCATGGGAAGAAAGTGGGAACACAGTACTGAGTTGGATGATCAGCTATGATCATAATGAATGGTGGTGCAGGCATGAAAGGCCGAATAACCTACTCTTGGTCCTATTTTCTATGTCTCTATCTTTCTACGAATTGTCATTAAGCAAGTGAGGAGGGAGGTTAGTTCTACCTCGAGACTTGATAGAATTCTGAAATTGCCAACAGTTGGGACAGAAACCTTTGCATTTTTCAAATACAGCAATATGAATTTATGTAACTACTTTTACAACAGAGAAGGTTAAGGGAAGATTTAATAACATAAGTCAAAGTTAAGGGACCTTGAGAAAGTAGGCAGGGAAAAGGAAGCTAGTAAAAGGATTTGGATTTAGGGCAAGCTGTAGATGAATTTCTCCAAAGAATGAGATTATAATCTGGAAATGCAGGGTGATAGAAGAAGATGTAATACTAACTTGCAAATGAGATTTGGTTTTATAATTGAGATGGAAAGTTTTGTAGGGCTATGACACTAGATCCAGGGAGTGGGATAAATTGGAAAGATCATTTGTAGAGATGGCATCCAAATAGTGGGACAGAAGGTTTCCTGTGCTGATTAATTAAATGATTAATCTCTCAGCAGTCACAATTTGAAACAAATTCTACATATTTTCTATTGAACCACTGAGCCATGATTTTGATTTTAAAATGTATAAGTGTTTTACACAGTGTAATTGTTTTTTTTATGGTTCCTTTTAATCAGGTAGTTGTGTGACCCAGTGGTTTGATCATGATGACCCATCAGGGAGAGGAGATTTTGAAGTTCTCCGGAATCTCCAGAAAGAGTATCCTGATCAGATCTGCAGTACGCCAACAGCCTGTGAAGTGGAGACAATATCAGGAATCCCAGCATCAAGCTCTGAAGACAACATTCAACAGTAACTATTCCCACTATAGTATTTCAAACTAACAACAGATATTCAGATTTTCAAGAATAAAGGAAGAAGTTTAAAAATTAGGATCTCAGCAGTAGCATTCTCAGATTACTCTTGGTGCTATGTCTCAGCAAATGTAGAAAGAGGAAAAAATGGAGGATCAGCGCATGGCTTGACTCATGGTACAGGAGGGTAGGCTTCAAATTCTTGGAAAATTGGGAGTGCTGGGATAGGGCGCACCTATTCAAAAGAAGTGAGTTTAATCATATTCAGAGATTTGATTGATCTTCCTTTGTGAGCTGGCATCTGTTGCCTACCACTATGTGTCCTTGAACTTACTTTGTCAATACATTCAAATAGGTTCATTAAACATGGCTTTGCTTTCAGAAAGCCATGTTCGCGCTGTCTTTCAAATTGTGATTTTCTAGGTATACTGCTATAACCTCCTTAACAAGGGGCTCTAGAATCTTGCCTATGACAGATGTTAGGCTGATGGGCCTACAGTTTCCAGGCTTCTACCTCCCTCCTTTCAGAACTGGCATCATTCCTCAAGACTGCCAACTTGAATTTAAAAAGTTCCTTAGTATATGGAGACCCTGAAGCCTCTTCAGAAGCTGTTGCTGAAGGTACACAGTCAGAACAGACAATCTCAATTCAAGCAGCACTTGAAACATTTGAGGTAAAGATAGGATTTCTGCCAGTCCATAATAGTCAATACCCTGGCAAGAGGGTGTTGGGGGCAGAACCCAGCTGGTCCAGGGTTCTAAATCTTCAGAAACCTGATGGTCAACCCAGTCATTCGTCTCCTGGTCAGGTGACATTGGTTGAATCACCTCTGCGGATCTGTCTAGTGCCCCCATAGAGCCAACAGTTGCCATCTCTTCAAGGGATATCCCTTATGCACTAGGATGCATCCATACACACTGTTAGTGTTGAACATTGGAACGTTTGAACATTCAAATTAGGAACAGACCACTCAGTCCTTCAAGCCTGCTGCATCATTTAATAAGATCATGGCTGAACTGATGATCATCTCAGTTCTATGTTCCTTCTTATCCCAGACAACTCCCTTGCTTAATAATAACATATTCACTTCTTCCTTAAATTATTCAAAGACTATACTTCCATGCCTCTTGAGGTAAAACTTTCAAAGATCTTCTGTGAGAACCTGAGTTAACTTGGACTGGCAGAAGATGAAGGAGCTGACAGAGCTGCCTGGGAAGTGAGTGCACACGTAGAATAAGCTCTTGTGGCTACAAACGCGTTGGATATTGAAGGAGCAGAAGTCCCCCTTGCTGTTAGATCACACTGGTTGGCCACTGGGTGACTTGAGGGCCACATGAGTACCATGGATGATGCCATGCATCTGTGGCAATCTAGTGATGAAGGAAAACTCAATGCTGTTTGTCCCTGAAAGGCCATGCCAGTCATTAATTAGCTGTTCCCTTAGTGATACCTTCCCTGGTATGCATGACTGGAGGGCTAGATTGATATGCTGCCTCTGAAGCTGATTCAAAGAAGGTTTTGCAAACAAAGAAGTTCAGGCTCACTGGCAAGGTAACAGGTAACTGCAAGATTTTTGGTGATGAGGGCAACAATCTCTGTGACCATCTGCTTGGACAGTCGCAGTTTTTGTTTGCACTCCATCACCTGCAGGTAACTCTGTCTTCAGTAGCTGCTGTTATATTAGGTACCCTGGGTTGGGGGTTTGGCCTCTTGCCATCCTGCTCCTCTTTCCTCTCTTCTGCCTGCCTGATTCCTGGAGTTCTGCTTTTCCTGCAGAAGGTGTTTCCCATCATTGTTCTGTGTGCAAAATCTTATAGACTTAGCCCAATGTAAGCTACAACCTTTCTTCTGAGCAGGTCCTTGGCAACCTTACCCACTGCTGTTCTACCCAGTGATGCTAAGATGTTAATTGGCCAGTCAATGTCCAAGCACTGATAGCCCATTCATTCTGTGCCCAAGCAGTGCCATGGGCACACCTTATCAAATGCCAAGAATCCCTCTGTTCAACTGACCCTCTTACATGGTTGTGTTGTCTGGCCTTGTGTGGTCCTTCTGCCTTCAGATGATCTTTTTGCCGGGAACTGGCATGCCCTACCTAAAAAAAAAGTGAGCTGCAAAAATTGACAAGTTGCTGATGAACTTTTAATTAGTCTCAGTTTGGTGGAGAGGGAATTCCATCCCGCACTTTCTCCCCGTCTCATCGTTAACAGCAGCCAGTGGAAGGAACGGCATCTTGAAATTGATGCAGTGCTTGGCACCATTTGTGGGCCTTCCCTCTAATTCTGTTCTGACTTTAGGACCTGGAACATTCGGGCCTATTTCTCAAATATGAACAGTTTTGAGAAGTGCACTGACCAAGTACATTCCATTTTAAATTCAACAGGTGTAGCATTTCAACTGGATTTACCTGTATCAATGCAGAACAAAGAAATGGCAGCTGTGAAGATTACAGAGTGCGATTTACCTGCCCTGAATCTTTTTGTAAGTAGTGAACATTTTTAAATGGTGTTTTGTGTACTAAATTCCAAACCACAAATAGTATTTCTGGATGCAATGGTGCAGCTGTATTATCCATTTACTTTAGAACTAAGCAGTTTAAATTTGTCGTTGGAAATAACCATGTCAAATGTCCTGAAAGTTGTACTATATTTAATCTGGATGGGTAAGGGTATGAAACGTAGCAATGCTTTATCATAGCAATCCCTTTGCATGTTCGAGATTCCTGCAAATGTTTAAAACCTTAAAAAGCATTGCCAACCCCCATGACTACAAACCAAAAGCCCATTAATGACTGTATGAAGCCATGTGGCCTTATCCCTATTACTTCGGTCTCAGATGCTCTCAATTTAATCATTACCTGTGTCAAGTCAGCATGCATGTTTATTAGGAACTGCTGATCAAACTGGAATTCCTGTTTAAAGCATTATCCCTTGCTTTGTTATCTTTGTTCAATGCAGCATTCTTTCTTAGAGACAAGCACATGAAATGCTGGAGAAACTCAGTAGGTGTGGCAGCATCTGAGGAGAAAGAAGCAGTGGCAGCATCTGAGGAGAAAGAAGCGGAGTTAACGTTTCAAGTCTAGTATGCTTCATCTTCAGAACTGAGTTCTTCAGAACCAGACTCAAACCATTAACTCTGTTTCTTTCCCCACAGATGCTGCCAGACATGCTGAGCTCGTCCAAAGTTCTCTGAAATTGTTTCAGATTTTTAGCATTTGCAGTATTTTGCTTCCTTCCTTAAAGAAGAGTGAATTTGGTCTTGTTCTTGAGACCAGTGTGTTTTTGCTGAAATAAAATTGGAAAGGCAGCGCCCTCTTTTCCTGTGGGATCCTCAATTTGTAGTCTCTTTGAAGGATGAAGTGAAAAAATACTGGATTTCTCTCCTTAATTAAGCTCTTCTCAATAACAACCTGTCGAAATTTATTATTATTTTGTTTAACTTTTTTTTAAAATCCAGTTTCCAATAGCAGTCGAATTTTACCTTTTTGAGTTTCTACCCTAAGATTGAAAGTGTTGAAGTGTTGCTGACAGCACAGTCTTTGTTTTCCTTTAAACCAGGCAGCTGCAAAACCCAGTGGTTTGATCGAGATGACCCTTCTGGAAATGGGGATTATGAAGATCTCGTGAATCTTCGAAAAGAAAATGCTGGTAAAATCTGCAGTAATCCGACTGCCTGCGAAGTAGAGACAACAGACGGGGTTCCTGCCTCACGTACTGGAGACATTGTTTCTGAGTAAATAATGATACCTGCCATCTTATACGGACATCCAGAAGGCATTCAGTCAGGTTCCACACAATCAACTGTTAGCAAAGATAAAAATACATGGAATTGGAGGCAACCTTTTCACATTGGTAGGAAATTGGTTAGAAGGTATTTGACAGTTAGTAGGGATAATGGAATATATATCCATTGGGAGGATATGACTAGTGGTATCCCACAATGGGGACTTGGTATTTCAATTTATTTATCAGTGACTTATTTAAAGGAATAGAGAACATTATATTCAACACCAGGCTAGCAGGTGCAATACAAAGTGTAGGCAAAGGCAAAAACTTGCAAAAGGATACTGACATATTAAACCAGTGGAAAAAAAATACCATGACAGCTGGACTTCAAGATGGAATATGTGAGCTCATACAAATATCATACATGGTTGATCTGATTACTCCATATTCCACCTACCCCAAATGCCCTTTCACCTCCTTGCTCATCAAGAATCTATCTAATTTTGCAATAAGAATATTCAAAGTCAATGCTTCCAAAACTTTTTGAGAAAGTAAGTTCCAAAGAGACTCAACCCTCTATGAGATACAATTCCTCCTCTCTGTTTTAAATAGCAACACATTATTTTTAAACGGTGACCCCACTTTGGGCATGAAAAGGATAATTCAGAATATATTGTAAATCGTGAGAACAAGAACAGAAAGATTTTGGTGTCCACATATAGACTTTATTAAATTCTAGTTGCACAAGTGACTTCAAAGGTTCTTAACATAATTTTGAAAGGGCTGAAGTAGAAGGGGAGGAAGTGTACTTCCATATAGCTCTGACGAGACTACACTATTGCGTTCAGTTCTGAGCCTCACAGCTCATTAAGGGTGTTTTAAATGTGAAAGGACTACAGGCTCACAATCACTAGAGTGGTACTGATGCTTTAAAAGATTGTTTATGTGGGTATGTTACAAGGAGTATGTTTTGTTCAGTTCTTTGAGCATAGGAGTTGGCACATCATGTTGAGGTTGTACAGGATGTTGGTGAAGCCTCTTCTGGAACACTGTATCCCATTCTGGTCGCCCTGTTACAGGAAGGATACTATTAAGCTGGAGAGGGTTCAGAAGAGATTTGCCAGGATATTGCCGAAACTGGAAGATTTGAGCTTTGGGGAGAAGCTAGATAGGCTGGATTTTTTTTCACTGTAGGAGGTTGAGAGTAACTTTGTTGAGGTTTATAAAATCATGAGGGGTATAGATAAAGTGAATGGGTGGTGTCTTTTCCCTAGGGTGTGGGATTTCAAGACTAGGGGACATATTTTTAAGGTGAGAGGAGAAAGATTTTAAAAAGTTATAAGGGGCAATCTTTTATTACACAGAGAGTGGTTTGTGTGTGGAATGAACTGCTAGAGGAAGTGGTGAATGTAGTACAATTACAAAATTTAAACATTTAGATAAGTACATGAATAAGAAATGTTTGGAGAGATATGGTCCAAGCACGGGTAGATAGGAATACTTTAGTTTGGGATCATGGTCAGCATGGACTGGATAGACCAAAGGGTCTGCTTGCACGCTGTATGACGCCATGACTCTGAATAAATTTCAATGCAGATAACAAAGCAGGGATTTAGCAGCGATTTGACAGCCTGTATAAGAGGATTAAAAGATATTCTCAAGTAGTTCAAATGAAACTGTTTCCTTTGGAGTCCAGAATGTAAGTATAAAATTTATCAGCACAGTGGCTCAGTGATTATCACTGCTGCCTCATAACTCCAGGGACCTGGATTCGATTCCACCACTTGGTGACAGTCTGTGCAGAGTTTGCACATTCTCCCCATGTCTACATGGGTTTCCTCCAGGTGCTCTGGTTTTTGCCCACAGTCCAAGGATGGACGTTGATCAGATGGGTCAATGGGCCGAGGAGTGGCAGATGGAGTTTAATTTAGATAAATGTGAGGTGCTGCATTTTGGAAAAGCAAATCAGCGCAGGACTTACACACTGAATGGCAAGGCCTTGGGGAGTGTTGCTAAACAAAGAGGCCTTGGGGTGCAGGTTCATAGTTCCTTGAAAGTGGAGTCCCAGGTCGACAAGATAGTGAAGAAGGTGTTTGATATGCTTACCTTTATTGACCAGTGCATTGACTATAGGAGTTGAGATGTTACGTTGCAGCTGTGCAGGACATTGGTTAGGCCATTTTGGAATAACGCGTGCAATTCTGGTCTCTCTGCTATAGAAAGGATGTTGTGAAACTTGAAAGGATTCAGAAAAGATTTACAAAGACATTGCCAGGGTTGGAGGGTTTGAGCTATAGGGAGAGACTGAATAGGCTGGGGCTATTTTCCCTGGAGCATCGGATGGCTTATAAAATCATGAGGGGTGCGATAGGGTGAGTAGCCAAGGTCTTTACCCCAGGGTGAGGGAGTCTAAAACGAGAGACATAGGTTTAAGGTGAGAGGAGAAAGATTTAAAAGGGACCTAAGGGACAACTTACTGATATAGAGGGTGGTGCATGTATGGAATGAGTTGCCAGAGGAGGTGGTGGTGTCTGGTACAATTACAACTTGAAAAGACATCTGGATGGGTATATGAATAGGGCTTAGTGGAATATGGGCCAAATGCTGGCAAATTGGACTAGACTAATTAAGGATATCTGGTCAGCATGGACGAGTTGGACCAAAGGGTCTGCTTCCATGCTGTACGACTCTATGATTCTGTGACTCTATGTGCAAGTTATTTGGATGGGCAATGCTAGATAGATTATCCATGGTTAATGTGGGGTTTAGGGATAGGGTAGGGAGCTGGGGTTGGGTGGGAAGCTCTTCAGAGTGTTGGTGTGGACTTGATGGGCCAAATGGCCTGCTTCTGCACTGTAGGGTTCAACGACTTTATGAAAATTAAAATTAGAGCCAGGCATTTCAGGGGGTAGTGTCAGGAAGCTCCTCTTCAGAACAAAAGGTAGTGTAAATCTGGAGTTCTTGGCTCCTGAAAAGCTGGTGAGGATAGTGAATTAAAGATTTCAAACATTAGATTGATGAATTCCTGTTGAGGAAGGATATTGCAGATTGTGAAACTAAGGCAGGAAAAATGGTTAGATACAAATCAGCAACATTTTAAGTAAATACCGAACCAGCTGAGTGACCTACTCCTGTTCCTGTGTAGTTTGAAATTGGGACTGATTCAGAGAGAGTGAATTGTTTTAATGATTAGATTAGCACATGCTCCTCTTATGCATTGAACAGGTGCAGCATTTCAACTGGATTTACCTGTGTGAATGCAGAGCAAAAAGACCGGAGCTGTCAAGATTACAGAATACGATTTACCTGTCCTCGCTCTTTTTGTAAGTTTTGAACATTTTATTTGTGGAATCTACCCTTCCACTTAGCTAATCATGATGCAATGTTGAATGTTGTTCACATGTCAGAGAATTAAACGGCTGAACTACTTTTCCCCTGTTCAAACAAGGCAGGTACATGGCAGCTGTAGAAAACTAGGCTCAGTGCCCTTGTTCCCACATTGTGAAAACTGTACTGAGCAAGGTAGCCACATAATTTATGCTGGTCTGTGTCATACATCTTGTCACTAATGTCCTTGAGGAGAGGAAACTTGCCATCCAGATCCAAATCAATGTGGTTGACTTCTTAATTATTGTCTGGAATGACTAAGCAAGCTATTAAGTTCAAAGTTCAGTTAGGGATGGTCAACAAATGTTGGCCTTTCCAGTGATGCCTCTGACTCATGAAAAATAAGTAAAAACAGAGAATTGTACACTTTATTTCTTTACTGGTTCTGGTTATTTCTTCATTGGAGACAATGATGTGTTGTACTGTGGTACACTGAGATCAATTTTGAATAGAATTGCGAAATATGTGCCTTTAGGACTTAAAAAAAAATCTTCATTCTGCTGAATCTCTGGGAGCCTCAAGCCTTTCAGCTGATATCTGGCTTTACTTTTCAATCTATGTCAGGACATCTATTTGACCTAGTCAGTCATTTACTGTTTTTGATAGTCATATTACTGAGACCCGAATCAGGTCCAAACAGAAGCAACAGGTCAAAAAATCGAAAGTATGTGGGATACTTGCCTTTATTAGCCAAAGCATAGAATGCAAACCAAAGAGGTTACGCTGACGGGATTGCACTAGAGAGGATGCGAAGGAGATTTACCAGGATGTTGCCTACGCTGGAGAGTGCAAGCTATGAGGAAAGATTGGGGAGGCTGGGGCTTTTCTTGGAGAAGTGAAGGTTGAGAGGAAACTTGATAGACATGTGTAAGATTATGAAGGGCATAAACAGAAATTATTTTTTTCCATTTGTAAGGGAGATCAATAGCCGGGGGCATAGATTTAAGGTAAGAGTTAGAGGCTAAGATGAGTGTTAAAGAGAAATATTTTTACCCAGGATATTTATGCTTTATTAGCTGGTGTCTCCATTTGTCCTGCCACCTTCAATGATCTGTGCATTTAGACATGTAAGTCCCTCCTCTCCTACACTCCTTTGGAATTGTAACCCCTAACTTTTATTTGCCTATCCATACCTTTCCTACCAAATGCAACGCCTTGAACATCGTCTGCCACATATCCACCCACACCACCAACTTACCAATGTGTTTTTGAAGTTATACACTGTCTTCCTCACAGTGTACAATGCTTCCAAGTTTCATATCTTTGAAATTATTTCCTGCGCACCAAGATCAAGATCATTAACATACGTCAGAAAAAAACGAGAGTCCCAGTACTGGATCTTGGAGAATTCCACTACAGACCTTCCGCTAACATGAAAAAATATCCAATGCCCATTATTCTCTGTTTCCTATCAGTCAGTTGATTTTGTTGCTACTCTCCCTTTTATTTGCTTGGTGCAGCTAAGAAATACTGAATCTTGAAAAAACACTGGGATAGTGCCAGCTTAATGAAACTAGCTGTCTCTGAAAGAGCTGGAAAGGAGCTGATAATAGGAGCTAGAGTGAAGTCTTGGGAATCCAGTAGATCACAATCTCAGGAGGAGAAATTAAATTCTCGGGATCCAAGCAGCCATTCACTGTGACAGAGCAGTTTCTGAAGAGGTTCTGAAGTTAGATCTTCTAAAGTGAAGAAATGAAACCTGTTGTAATGAACCAATGTTTTAATGAGAATTTGTGACCCACAATGTCACCATACCTGGGGGATGCTGAGAAATCCATGGGATTGATCCAGACTACCTTCGCTATTTGACTATTGTTTGCGTGTTACCCAGGTTTTCCTCATGTTAATTCTAGATGTTGGAGTATAAGTTATGTCTATATTGTAGATTATTTTACCATTCTAATTTTATATCTTAGCTTATTGCTGTTTGTACAAAACTATGGAATCTTGTGGTTTTCTTCCCTTATGAAGTATCAAACTTTGTCCACTTTAAACATTAATGATACTGGTCATTAATGAGTCCACAACATGAATTCAGTTTCATTAATGTTCATAATAGGATGAAAATGTGGCACAGATTCAAGTTAATCTACCTAAATACACAAGTGGAGCGCCTACAATCAGAAGTATACCAGATCATCAAGAAGCACATGTAGAGATTTTTTTTATCAACCTGTTCAGACATTCATTAGGAAGATAATTAAATTCTGTAGGTACAACTGTTAGTTATCATGATGCAGCTCATGAAAAAATGAATATGCACTGAGACTTTAAACCATGAGTGGCTTCTATGGGAAGATATAGACAAGACCAGATCAGAACAAGAACAGAAGCCAGGCAAATGGTTGAACAGTTAGTGAGGGAGCATTTTGCAGACAGTGATCATAACTCTGTTAGATTCAAGATTGTTATAGAAAAGGAAAAAGATGGGCCTGAAATCAAAGTTCTCAAATGGGGGAAAGCTGATTTTAATAAGATTGGATATGATTTGGCCAAAGTGTACTGGGAGCAAATACTTTCAGGTAAGTCTTTCTCAGAACAATGGGATGCATTCAGGAAGGAAATATGGAGAGTACTGGGCCAACATGTTCCAATAAAGAAATAAAGAAACAGATTCTGTGAACCCAGGATATCAAGGGATATACAGCATTAGATTGGAGGAAAAGGGAGGCTTATGGTGGGTATCCAGGGCTCAAAACAGCAGAAGACTTAGAGGAATATTGATCGGAGAGAAATGTATCCCATGTTGTTGAATAAGACAAGGGAGGAAATAGCAAGGGCACTTGTTCAATTCCTCTCTGGCCACAGGAGAAGTGCCAGAGGATTAGAGGACAACCAATGTGGTACCATTATTCAAGAAGGGAGCAAACTACAGGCCAATCAGTCTTATCTCGCTTGTAGAAAATTATTAATAGTAATTCTGAGGGACAGGATTAACTTGCATTTGGAGACACGTGAATTAATTAAGGACAGTCAGCATGGTTTTGTTCAGGGGAATTCATGTCTGACCAGCCTGATTAAATTTTTTGAAGAGGTGACCAGGTGTGTAGTCTACTTGGAAAATCTGGAAAATGGGATTAGAATAATTTGGTACTTGTTTCTGACCGGCCTGGTCATGATAGACTGAAGGGTCTTTGTCTGTGCAGTAGGTTTCTAAGACTCTATGCACTGGGTGAAAGAAGTGAATGCTGAACTTGGTAGATGTGGTGCTGCTTTGTCCTGGATGTTATCAAATTTCTTGATTGTTGTTTTGGAACTATACTCATTCAGGCAAGTGGGAGTATTCCACCACACTCCTGATTTGTACCTTGTAGCTGGGCAGGCTTGGGGGAGTTATGAAGTGAGTTACTCGCTGCAGAATTATGAGTTTCTATCGTGCTCTTGTGGCCATGGTATTTATGTGTGCATCCAGTTCTCTTCTTGGCCAATGGTAAGTGGCAAGTGTTGATTTTGTGCAGTTAAATGTCCCCCCAGTAAGATTTCCAACACCTAGTTTTGCTTCCACCTTTCAGCATGTTGCTAACAATTTCCATTTGATTTGTTCCTTTAAACAGGCAATAAGAAAACTCAATGGTTTGATCGCGATGACCCAAAAGGAATTGGGGATTTTGAAGATCTGGAGAACCTTCGGAAGGAATATCCTGGTCAGATCTGCAGTAGCCCAATTGCCTGTGAAGTACAGACAGTCTCAAACCAGTCAGCCGCAAGCACTGGGGATATTATTCCTGAGTAATTAAACTATTTGTACCACTGTATTTTCATAAGTCAACTTTATGTTTTATCAATTACATTATCATCCTCTTTGGTTTTGCCTCAATAGGTGCAGTACATTGACTGGGTTTATTTGCCTGAATAAAGAACAAAGCTTTAAGCTCTGTGAAGATTACAAAATACGATTTACCTGCCCTTAATCTTTTTGTGAGTATTGGACATTTGGAAACGTTGATTTATTGACCGTCTCGACTGTATTGAAGGAGCAGCCGTTGCGGGTTGATGTGGCCACATGGAGTCCATAGCCTCCTTTAGCTCCTGTGCCAGCCCATGCCAAAACATGCACATTGTCTTGTCCCTCCAACCTTTGCCCTTATAGCACCATGCCATCTCACACACCTTGGGAAAACATCAGGAGCCATCTTGAGACTAAGTAGAGATTAAATAAAACAGTTAAGATGTAGTAACGCAATAATTACAGCATTTAATATTATATCAATAAGCAATTATTAGAACTGAAAGAACAGTTCTTCTCAGCTCACAAACAAACGTAGATCACTTTCAATTTTTAAAAAGCAGTCTATTTAAAAGATTGACAGCTTGACCATTCTACGGATCTTCCCTGTTCTTCATGAATAATTACAATTCAAAAAAATGCAACACTTACCCTGGGAGATAAAACTCACATTCCAGCAAAAATGGAGTCTGTTTGCCATAAAATATGTTCAAATATTGGGCAAATGTGGATGTATATGATCCACAGTATTTCTGACATGTTGTTCCAAGCAGATGTAGATGCAAAGGTTTATTCCAGCCATGCTAAACAGCATCATCAGCTTGGGTACTATTTTCAACATTTTTGAAGGAAAAGTTAAAATGGCAAAGGAAGGATCACATCAAAAGGTCTGCCACTCTCAGTTTTGATCTCCCCACTTAATAAGAAGAAACAACACAACAATGAAAAAGCAAGATGGAGTCTGTGAGAGCCTCTCATCTTTCTGGTTCTTCAGCTCCATACTTGTGACATTTCTGTTGTGAAATGTATAATGAATTATAAGTTATGTGTGGATTGCATTTGATACCAACAAAATTTTCTACTTTGAATTGGGAAGAGTGGGTGACACCATTGCTCAATGTTGTAATCCTAAATTTTGATAGTCAGTCCATTCACCTGAAATTACAACCTTCCAAGTTGGAAGGTGGGCTGAAGACAAGGCTGCCACCTCCAATAACAGATCAGAGATTGGCACAGAGGCAGGTTAATATTGAAGCCAGCAATTTAAAAGGCTCACCTCCATTAATGGGGTCATTGACGCAGATCTCTACATGGTTGTTAGGCCCCCTAAAACTCTCACACCTCAACCACCCAAGAGGGATAGTAAGAACTGCCGATGCTGGAGTCTGAGATAACAAAGTGTAGAGCTGGAGGAACACAGCAGGCCAGGCAGCATCAGAGGAGCAGGAAAGCTGACGTTTCAGGTCGGGACCCTTCTTCAGAAATGGGGGAGGGGAAGGAGGCTCTGAAATAAATAGGGGGGGGGGTGGGGCTGGGGTGGGATGGTGACAGGTGAGTGCAGGTAGGTAGGGGTGGGGATTGGTCAGTGAGGTGGGTGGATCGGATAGGTGGAAGAGAAGACGAACAGGTCAAGCGGGGGTTGGAGAGATTTTGAAGCTAGTAAAATCCACATTGAGACCATTAGGTTGTAGGCTCCCAAGGCAGAATGTGAGGTGCAGCTCCTTCAATTTCCAGGAGGAGTCATTGTGACAGTGACGGAGGCCCCGGATGGACATGTCATCCAGGGAATGGGAGGGGAGGATGAGACATATTGTCCATATGTCTACAGCTGATTCTAAAAACGTGGAAAGTTCCTAATCACATCTCAGTTATATGTTTTTCTAGGAACAAGTGAGCAAGAAAGCAGTCCCAGGATCTGGAGCTAGTCAGGCCTGCTTCAGGCTTGATATTTGACAAGTGCTGTACATAAAACATTAGTCTAATGGATTTGGCTACAAAAAATAAGCAGTTACTAAGAGAATATCACATTATATAGACTTGCAGTTACTGGCTAATCACGTTGAATTGTACTACCTGTATAATTGTATAGAATTTGAAATTTCAGTAAAATATATATCATTTTGAGAAATGTTGGAAATTGGTAACTATTAGAGAGCAGAACTCTTGGAACTTTAGGCATTTAGTTATTGGTTGCAAACTCAATAAAATATGAATAAAGTTTTGTTTTCTCATTATTGTTATTAGTGTAATTCTTGGAATATTCCATAGATTTAATCTCTGCAAATATAGTATTCAATAAGTAAATAAAGGGATAATTTTCTAACAAAAACCTGGAGACAAAAAGGACATGTCTCATTCCTAACGTGGAATAATAGTGTCACTATTTTAACCCAATTGTGTGTATTACTGGCAGTACCAGCATTTATTACCCATGCCTAATCACTCTTGAGAAGGTAGAGGTGGTGGTGAGCTACCTTCTTAAATTGTTGCAGTCTTTGAGGTGTAGGGACACCCACACTGCTGTTAGGGAGGAATTTGCAAGATTTTGACCCAGCAACTCTGAAGGAACATCAATATAGTTTTGAGGCAGGATGGTGGGTGGCTTGGAGGAGACTTGCTGGTCCTATGTCTCTGGTGCCCTTGTTCTCCTAGTTATAGAGATTATGGGGTTTGGAAGGTTCTATTGAAGGAGTAGTGCATTTTGCAGATGGTAAACACCACTGTCACTGTGGTTCAGTTGTGCAAGGAATGAATGATGAAGGTAGTAGATGGGTGCCAATCAAGTGGGTTGCTTTGTTCTGGATAGAGTCAGAGTCATTATGGGACAGAAGAAGGCTACTTGATCCACTGAATGAATACTGACTCACTGTGGAATAATATCAGTCCTGTTCCCACACAATATCCCCATAGCTTTGCAAATTTGTTTCCAGTAAGTACTGATCCAATTCTCCCCTCAATCAGTCTCACTAACAGTGGTAAACGGTGAGTTCATACAGGTAAGTGGAGTGTATTCTATCATTGTACTGACCTGTGCCTTGTAGATGGCAAGTAGGCTTTGGGGAGCCAAGATATGAATCACTCACTACAGAATTTCCAACTTCTGATCTGCTTTTATAGTCACAGCATTTAAACAGCTAGACCAGTTCAGTTTCTAGTCAAGGGTGTTCTACAGCTCCCTGCCCCACACCCCTCCACTCCCAAACCCACCATGTGGCTCAAGTTTTGCATGCCAATTATCAGCCTGCCCTCATGACGTATCTTTGTGCCTGAGGAGTTACAAATAGTCGTGAACACTTCATTCATCAGCAATGGTTCCCACATCTGCTCTTATAACGGAGGGAAGATCACTGAACACAGTTGTTCCTAGGTCTTCCAGCAAAGATGTCCTATGGATGAGATGATTGATCTCCAACAACCACAACCATCTTCCTATGTGCCAGGTATGACTTCAACTATTGGAAAGTTTTTTTCTCCGATTCTCAATGACTACCATTTTGCCAGGGCTGTTGGAAACCATAGTCATCCAATTGTTGCTTTGATGCGCACCAGAGTTTAAAAAAAGAAGTTATAAATACCAGAGACACCCGAAAAATTATACTCTAGACAAGAACACTTTGAAATAAATACTTTATTTGTATAACTCAAGAGCTTCATGCCATTAACAGAGTTTGTTACTTCTTTACCCCTTGTTGTATTATACATTCAGCAATTTGACAACATGACAGTCTCTACCCTGCATCTTCTATTGTTACTTACCAATATAGATGATCTTCCATTTACAAACATCTAATTTATGAACTGGTACATATGAACAGCTATTTATTGTCCTGTATTGTGCTCCAACTTGCATACAAATCAACTTGCAAATACTCAAGAACGGAGCCCATTCAAAGGGACTGCCTGTACCACAGTATATTTGTTTTGTCTCTAATTCTGTCACCTCTTCTTATCGTTCTTTGTATTCCATGCAATACCAGAAGGAGAATAGCACCTTGTTAAATCAGAAGTATTTCAAATATTTGTTTGAGCAAGGTAGGAAATGAAAGATTTCAGTTCCTGGTTGCAGAATTGAAAACAAGTGTAAATTTAGGAATTACAGAATGTATAGAAAAACAATGTTCTGAACTTTGATAACAACAGCCATCTTCCTGATCCTCATGAATGGTTTAGCCTCTTTGACCTCCTTTGATCATAGCTTTGCAAGAGATCCATGACTCCACCTCATTCTTTGCATCTGTCTTTAGATAAAGCTGATGAGGTCTGGAGCTGATGTTTCTAACAAAGCCGAAAATGGTGCTTTGATGGTGTTCTGGTGAGAAGATTGTTGCCAAGTGGTAGTAATACTGAACCACTTGGCGCTTTTATATTTCTTCACTGGTGCTGAGCATGTGCAGGAGTCCTGAATCTGTAAGAGCAGGAGGTTACCTTGACCTTTTGTGAGAGTTTTGGGAAAGCTCTATTGTCAGGTCTTCTGACTAATTAACAAAACTAACTTAAGTTCTACAAATGGCTAGTTATAAAGATATCCTTATTTATATCATAATGATGTTTCTACTAAATTATATATTTAAATATTGTGATATTTACAGTGATAAGAAACTTTTTTTTTAGTGTCAAAATATTTTATTAGCCCAGCAGTTGTTAGAAAAAGAAATAAGTGGTCAAAGATAAACTTCAGCAGAAATCTAGTCAGGGGTGAAAAGTCCATTTCCTGTGCGGCAATGAAGCAATAAACACCTTTGCAGAATCTCAAAGCTCAGATTTGTCAGGGGCCAAGCCAAAACAGGTGAGTAACAAGACCACTATCATTTTCTTGTGTTAATTAAACTCAGCATTGAAATGTTTCTGAGCTGTTCAGAGTCTAAATATTGGAAGCCAGAGATATGAGGAACTGGACTTGGCATAGACAAGTCAAAAGGCATGTTTTGTAATTCAGCCATTCAAAGATGGTGAGCTGATTACTTTGCAAGGTACTATTAAATCTTCATAGATTTTGCTAAGTAGAGGGGACAGAAATGTTCAGTCGGCGAGAGTTTGGATCATCCTGAGAATGAGGTGGAAGGCAAGGTTGATTGACAATGCACACACATGTACAGATATTATCGCCGGACTGTTAATCCAGAGACCCAGATAATGCTCTGGGGACCCGAGTTTGAATCCCACTCCAGTAGATGGTGGACTTTGAATTCAGTAAATATCTGGAATTAAGAATCTAATGATGACCGTCAATCCATTGTCGATCGTTGGAAAAAACCCATTGGGTTCACTAATGTCCTTTAGGGAAGGAAACTGCCATACTTACCTGGTCTGGTCTACATGTGACTCTAGACCCAAAGCAATGTGGTTGACTCTTAACTGCCATCTGGGCAATTAGGGATGGGCAATAAATGCTGCCTAGCCAGCGATGCCCTCATCCCGTGAATGAGTAAAGAGCAAGAAAACAAAAAACAGCACTGATGGCAGAACTGTTGCCAAGCCAGCTGACATTATCACAAGGAGGTTGTAAGAATGCAATAAGAATGTTATTACGTTTGATATCTCTGCTCAGTCATCTGTTCATTTGCACAGAATAAAATATAGCCCTTATCACTATTAAAGGTTATCATTTTGTATCATCTCAAACCTTGAGAATAAGAGGTTAAAAAATTAACCGATCCTGAAACTCCAAATGTCTATGGGAGATCGTGGTCAATGGACCAGGAGTGAATATGTAATGTATGATCAAATCCTGTGGATTGAAAGATGTGGCTGGGATTAGTAGCCTAGATATTAAAAATATCACATATAACAGAGTGGTTTTGTAGAATGACTTAGAGTCCAACAAAGTAGAAAGGAAATGTATGGCCCCCATCTTACAAAAACAAGCTATCATTTAAATGAATATCATAGACCTAATGAGATGAGTGAAGAAGACCTCAGTAACATTAAAAAGCTCTGGAAGGTGAAACTGAGAGCTCCTCAGTGGGTACACCTCCTCATCAAATGGGCCTGGATGATAGAACAAGCAAGGGAAAGGCTGATGTAGAGGTCGACACTGTGGAAACAGGCCATTTGGCCCAATTTTCCCATGCTGCCTAGTTCTAGAACATAGAACATTACAGCGCAGTACAGGCCCTTCGGCCCTCGATGTTGCGCCGACCTGTGAAACCAATCTGAAGCCCATCTAACCTAAACTATTCCATTATCATCCATATGTTTATCCAATGACCATTTAAATGCCCTTAAAGTTGGCAAGTCTATTACTTTTGCAGGCAGGGCATTCCACGCCCTTACTACTCTCTACCTACCTCTGACATCTGTCCTATATCTATCACCCCTCAATTTAAAGCTATGTTCCCTTGTGATAGCCATCACCATCCGAGGAAAAAGGCTCCCACTGTCTACCCTATCTAATCCTCTGATCATCTTGTTCTCATAGTTAAATAAGTCCCATTTGCCTGCATTTAGTCCATATCCCTCCATACTTACCCCATCCAAGTACGTGTCTGAATGTTAAATGACGAAATTGTACTCTCTTCCACCACTACTTCTGGCAACCCTTCCAAACACTCAACAAATTATCCCTCTGGACCCTTTTGTATCTCTCCTCTCTCACCTTAAACCTATACCCTTTAGTTTTAGACTCCCCTACCATGGGGAAAAGCTGTTGGCTACCTACTTTATCTAGCCCCCTCATGATTTTATAGACTTCTATATGGTCATCCCTAAGTCTTCTATGCTCCAGGGTTAAAAAATCTCAGCCTATCAAATCTCTCCTAATGTCTCAAACCTTCCAGTCCAAGTAGCATCCTAGTAAATCTTTTCATCACTTTTTCTAGTTTAATAATATTGTTTGTATAGAAGGACGACCAGCACTGCACACATTACTTGGAGATAGCAAGAACTGCAGATGCTGGAGTCAGAGACAATATAGTGCAGCCTTAGAGGAGCAGGAAAGTTGAAGTTTCGGGTTTATGCCCTTCATCGGAATCAGCACACATTACTCTTTGGAGTAATGTGGCTTTACCAATGTCTTGTATAGCTGCAATAAGACATCCCAACTCTTATACTCAATGCTCTGAACAATGAAAGCAAGCAAGCTGAAAGCCTTCTTCACCACTCTGTCTAGCTGTGACTCCACTTTCAAGGATCTATGAGCCTATACCCTTAGATCTCTTTGTTCTGTAATATTCCTTAGGGCCCTACCATTGACTGTGTAAATTCTGCCCTGATTTGACCCATCAAAATGCAA